CGGCCAGCGGGCTTGTCCCAGGCTGACTCAGAAAGCAGATTTTCGTCTCCTCAAGTACCAAAAACTGAGCTGGAGCAAGAGGTGTCAGCTGGCTGGAGCCAGCCCCTCTACCAAAGTATTTCAGATTCCCTTTTGTCTTCTCAAATGCTAATTGCAGATTGCCCTCTGGTTTTCACAGCCACTTCATGGCTTCAAAGATTTCTTCACTAAAGGTGAAGATATGCAAACAAACACAAAATAAAACAGCATTACAGTGGAACAGAGGACTGCTGATGGAGAGGGACACCAAAACACCCTGGGAGTGTTATAATAATTGCCAAATCTACAGTTTAGAGCTGGGCAAGCCAGGGTTATTCTTTTGTTTAGCAGGAATGTGGCAGTGTAAAGATGGGAAGTGCATAAAACCGTGTATGGGGTACCCCGAGGTTACAGCACAGAGGCAAGCAAGGATGGCCTTCTTTTCTGCTCCCCTCTCTAACCACGTTTGGGATAGGTAATGGAACTTGACCTGAGCAAAACATCTGGATTTGCAGCTGCTTTGCTTCGCCACAGCGGCCCAGAGCAGCAGCAGGGCTATGGTTTGTGATGAGAGGCTGGGCCTGGGGTTATGCAAGGGGAAAGGGCTACTCTTCCTTTTCATGTCTGCCAAGACATCTCTTTGCATGCTGAGCTTGCTGGAGTGGAGTCTGTGAAGGAGGAGCCTCAGAGGCTGGTCAGGCACTCACACCTGGGTTAATCTGCAGCCACAGGCTCCGTAAAGAGGACAGCCAGCAGGGCCTTACAGCACCCACTTTTCTCTGTTTCATCCCATATTTATTAGGGCACAGAGTCTTTACAATGAAACACAGGGGAAGGCAGTGTTTTTATGCACTTCTGAACCAGTGTCTCCACATAGAGGTTATCTGGGCATCTACCAGCGTCTTTCTGCCATCAGTGTGTTCTCAGGAGTCACTGATTTAAACATGAAGCATTCCACATACCCCCATGTAGCACAGGACATTTGCTGGCTTTTGGCTCCATGGAAAGCCTGGGGAGAATTTCATTCCTCATTGGTAAAATCATCCCAGATAAAGACAAGATCAAGGGGGAGTGTCTAGTCTTTTAAAGATTCAGCTTTTCAAAATTGATTTTTCGACTCATTGTCTGTTTTGCTTGGAAATCCCTGCAAAATACTGCATTGCCCTCAAAGAATAAATCAGGCAAGTTTGGGGTGAATGTGCTGTTCCCAGAAAATGAGGGGTCTGAGCTGCAGAATTACCTGCAGAGTGGGAATCCCAGGTGCACAGTCCTAGGCAAAGTCAGTGATGCCAGTAATTTACGAGTAGAGATACCAGCTGCTGTTGCAAAGATAAAGAGGGAACCAGAAGGGAAAAAAGCAAGGCAAGGCTCAGAAGGGCAGAGAAATGGGGAATGCAAGAGAAAAAGAATGGCTTGGGAGCTTCTGTTAACCAGGACTTATTTGGAGGTTTCCAACAGTTTGAGGCTGCTTCTCCAGAGCATTGCTAGGTCTTTAGTTGCCTTTTACTGTCAAATGTCTGCAAGACTTCTGTGCCAGAGGAAATCTGCTCTCATTTGCTGTCTGACTGCAGTCGTGGTCAGGATAACAAAGCTCTCTGTGGATGGGGAATTTCTGAGCCAAGGCTTGGGCAAAGAGTGAGGGAAATAGGGATATGGGCTCAACAGCTCTCCTGACTCTCAGAGCAAGCAAGAAGACACAATTCTTTGCTATATTCCTTTCTGTTCCAGCTAGCCCCACTGTCTGGGGCATTTGCAGCACAGACATAGTTTGAAGGAAGCAAGCTTTTCTGCCCAGGGAAGAGAAAGTCAGCCCTTCCATCAGTTCAGCATTGCCACATGCCACTTTCAACGATGGAGTGATGTGTGTGCACAGCAAGAGAGTGGTGAGCTTCAGAGGGATGGCAAGAGGAGAGATCTTTTTCTAGAAAAGTCATTAAAAATTATTTCCATGGTGAATACCTTCCCCACAGCCTGGCTGCAGAGAGCATTCGGCACAGAACTGGATTTTCATTTTTGCTTTGCAGTTCACCTCTAAAGCGAAAGGGGACTTTTGTAGGGCTGAATGACTCTTCATGGACTTTGGTTCCTTCAGGCTTGCAGCATTCAGGTTGCAGTTTCAAGGGTGCAGAGCCTTTTAAGGGTAGACATGACATCAGCAGGAGTTTCCAGCCCCTGCACATGTACTCCCAAGGAGGTTTTTGTTCTCCTTTTGGTTGCAAAGGAGACTCTGAGGGGCAAGGTAGGGAGAACCTCATGCAACTCATGATGTGATGTCACCCTGACATTTTCTATACGCCTACTCTTCCCCTATTGCTGCTGAAGAAAATAGAAAATGGTCTTTATCAATCCCAGATTTTGACTGGATGTTTGACTGGCCGCTCTTTCGAGACTCTCCAATAATAATAAGAGCTGCACTGTGAGAACAAGCAAAGATGTGGTCAAAGATAAAAGCACATGTACACACAAACACACACAGAGGTGCAGGAGAAGGAACTTAAAGAATCACAGCCTAAAGTGGGCTGCTTTTAAAGTGAACAGAAGGAAATGCTTTCTCACACAGCATGTAATCAAACTGCACAAGTCATTGCCAGAGGATGTTGTGAATGCCAAAATTATATGTGCATTCCTGAAAGGGCATTCCTGAAAGGGCAAGAACTCTTCCTGCAGGGTAGATCTAGCAGTAGCAATTTAAATGCTGATGTCAAGAAATCCTGAATTTTAGGCTGCAAAGGTTGGCAAGACAAGGCAGATTTTCTCCTGTGTGGAAGAATTCATTTCTCTCTCATTTTGCTTTCAGCTGATGGCTGACAGAGGTCATTGTGAGCAACTCCTGGTCTGCCCCAGCTTGGCTGCTCAGGATCTGCAATGCATTAGAAGGGGAAGTACAGGAAGTAAGGGGGAAATATAGAAACTTTCCCTTTGGAAGACCAGTGGAGTGGCTGAGTGGAGGGAAACCAGTTAAATAAGAAGTTTCTAATTTAATTACATATTCTATTTTATTTAACTAATATTAAAACATTCCATAGTGTCACCAGGACATCCACAGTATTTTTTGGTGTGTTTCCTACAGATTTAATGTCAAATATTCAAGTGGGACAGGGGTGGGTGTGCAGCGGGGGAGGGGAGTGAAATTTATTCCACAGAATCACAGAATCATTTAGGTTGGAAAAGACCTTTAAGATCTTTCAGCCCAACCTTTAACTCAGCCCTGCCAAGTCCACCAACAAACCCTGTCCCTAAGTGCCACACCACGTTAAATGTTCTGTCCCAGGCTTTGTGTCTGGGCTCTACTCCAGCAATCAGCCCCGAGCTCCAGCTGCGGCAGGGCACTGGCTGAGCATCTTCTTGTCTCCCCCCAGCACGGGCAGCTGTAGGATTGTGAGCAAGTCACAGGGCTGTGCCACAGGGCTCCTGTTGTGGCAGTGGCCCCAGGGTCTGTGTGTCACCCCAGGGTCTGTGAGTCACTGCTAAGCAAATGAGGCCTGGCAGGCAAGCAGCTTGTGGCCGCCTTGGACAGCGGCTGAATGCGAATGCCGCAGCATCCCGGTCACAGCGCTGCGTGCTGGATAGCTTGGACAGCGTGGCTGCAGCTGGGCTGGGACTATCAAGAGTGAGCCAGCACCAGCCAGGCTTTGCTGGGGAGGTGGCAGTTCTGAGGCTCAGCTTTGTGCATTGCTCAGCTCACACTTCAGGCAGAGGCTTTGCACGTGGGCTCTCCCCTCCACTGATGGGTGATGCTGCGCTGTCCCTATCAGTGACACACCGCCTGTCAGGACTTTCCTGCTTCCCCTCTCAGGTGTGGTTACTGAGATGTGTTCTGCAGGGAAAGAAGAGGGAATCTGAATCTCTTCTGTCCTGAAGACAGCTATTTCCTTGTTTTTCTGCTCTCAGTCAGTGGAGTGGAGCAGATTGATATCCCACTTCCACCACTGGAGATGATGCTGAGGCAGCGAGGCCGAGGCAAGCAGGACAGAGAGCAGCCTGATCTGGACTAACCAAGCCTAGTGCACATCATCCCCAGGCTTGCCCTAACTCAGCTGAAAGCCCAGCCACCTGTCCTATGGTGCAGCACAGGGCTGTGTGTCCATGCTGGGTCACCCTGCAGCAGCAGCAGGAACTCCTTGCTAGGCTGCTCCCTGGATGGCAGCCCTGTGAACCTTTACCCACTGGAAAGAGGAAGGAGTGGCTGCTTAGCAGGGGAATTACTGCTCACGTGGCCAGAGTTGTACCTAACTGCACCCTGCAAGGGTCTCAGTGTTGTCAGGACATGGCTGTACTCCAGGTGTGCCACTGCACAGTCACAGACCAGGAGTTGGGGAACATCTGTGCTGGTTCCAAGTTGTCCCATGAGCTTTCACACAGATAAATTTGTTCTACCTAGACTAGGCAAAATTGTTCACTTGCTATTGCTGGAAGGCTGATGACAAGTGTGGCTGCAACCTTTGTGTATCATTGTAGGGTTGATTCTGGTTTCTGGGATCTTGAAAGTTTTGGGTCTCTTTCCTTTTACAAAAAAGTAACTACCAAAAGTCCCCCAGTGCCCCTGAACAAATAGTCCACTGTGGCCCTGTTAAGCATAAAGAGAAGCCATTGGAGAGCGACACAGATTTTTCCAAACACCGGGCTCTGAAAAGGGAAGCAGAGGAGACAGCAGTTTGTGCATGTGCATTTCTATCCCTACTTTTACAGGGGCCAGCAAAATTTATGTTCAGGCAAGCAACTCTCCTGCCTTTGCCGTCAGCAATCCATGCAGCAGTCCTTGTGTACCTGCTGGGTCATGATCCTGAGTAGCAGTGGAGCATGATGTAGGAGGCAATGCCCAGGGGTGGCTCCCCTCAGTGCAGAGCTGAAGCTGTGAAATAGCTCGGTGGCTGATGAGGGATGTGAGCAGTCACAGCCAAAAGGGGTGAGCTTTAGGCAGCAGGTCCTGGCACAAGGCTGTACCACTGACTCACTGACTTTTGTTTGCTCCTCACCTGCAGGCCAAGCACTGGAGAAGAAAATAGTCAGAAGCAAAGTGGGGGAAAAGGTCAGCCTGCCTTGTTGCCATGAAATTCCCAGCTCAGAAAGCCTACACAAGTACCGGGTCTACTGGCAGAAGAACATTACGGACGTGGTGCTGGCCTACTCAGAGGGGAATATGATCTCCAAGCACGAGCGGTACCGGAACCGGATAGAGATGGACCCCTGGAACCTCACCCTGTGGATCTCCCTCGTGGAAATCCTGGACAATGGCTCTTACCAGTGTGTGGTTCAGCGCAACTCCGTTGTTGTGTGTGACGAGTCTGTCATCCTCTTTGTGACAGGTGGGTGGATTGCATCCTGACACCTGAGGCTCTCCAGTGCCAGCCTCTGGGGGTGAAGGATGCTCTTCCAAGCTTATCCATACTGCAGCAGGTGTGGAAGGTGTGGAAGGTGTGTTATCTGCTTCCATTCCAGCAGCCTCCCTTCTTACCTTTCTAAAGCTACCCCAGGTACAGAAAATTTTTTTCCCACTGCCAACCCAACCTCCTTCCCTTGATGCCTTCCTCTTGTGAAAGGATCCCTCCTGGGGCCCTCCCCAGACACCACTGGTGATGGGTGCCTGAGGCAGCCCCTGCTGTCTTTGGGACAAAGCAAGACCAAGCCCTTAGTGCCTGGCAAGCATTCAAGCTGAAAAAGAAATAGGGTGGCCAGGGCAGCATCCCAGCCCTGCATCCAAACCCCGGTGGAACTGGCTGCACTGCAGCTCCACAGCCTAAAGCCGAATTCATCATAGAGCTTTGAGGCTTTTTACATTAAAGAAACGGAGTTCCTTTGTTCAAAATGAATCTGAATCTTTTCTTAGAGGCCACAAAAAGTTCCACTGACATTTTCCATTTCCACCAGTGTTTTTGTGACAGTTGATTTCAACCAAGGATACTGGTGACATATATAAATATATACATGTATTTTAATACCTATAACAGCAGAATCTTCCAGTCAGTGAAGTCAGTGAAGGAGCATGCCTCATCTGGAAGGAGATTGGGCAACAAAAAAAAAGACAAGCTCCTGAGGTCTGGCCATTTCCTGCTGGCCTGAGAGGGCACATGTGCAATGAAATAAATTCAGTGATCTTTCTGGGAATTGGTATGAAAAAAGGGAAGTATACTGCCAGCACCCTTTTTTAACCATGAGGGTTGAGAAGTTAACTGCATAAAAAACATAGAACTATGGATCTCTTTTCCTGTCTGCAAATACTCCAGTTTCTTTACAGCCAAAAATCCCCTTGCTGTCCTAACAGGCCAGCTGTAATAATTATGGCAGACGTCTGCTCCCTCTGGTGAAGTGGGATCAAGTTATTGTGGGGATCAGGAAGGGGAAATGCTGGAACCAGGCTGGGATGCCTGAAGGGATTTTCCAGGCTGGATGGCAGTGTCGTATTGCTCAACAGACAATGGGCCTGGAAGGAAAAACTGTCTCTCCTTGCTTGCCACTGCTCAGCCACACAGTGCTGAGCAAGTTTCTTTCACTAGTGACTGCTTGCATGGTATCCTAGACCATGGGCAGAAAAAACTCCCATGGTGACTGCTCTGTGAGAGTGGGATCCTTGCTTTGACTGTGGGTTTTGGGGGCTGCAAACCTCACTGTGGCCTGACAGAATGGTAACCAAATCTCTCTCACTTCAGCTGACTTCAGCAAGCCCAACATAACGGCAGAAGTGTCCGCTGATTCTTGCGAGCTGACTGAGATGGTGATAACATGTTCTTCTCACGGAGGTTTCCCCAAGCCCAAAATCTCTGGAGCCCTCAACAACGTGTCCATGGAGTGGAATGCCAGCTGGGTGTCCGAGTCCAGCCTCAGCCCATACAATGTCACTGGAAAACTGCTGCTCAACGTGACCAAAGACGTCAACATCACTTGCTCCGTTGAATACAGTGGCTTTGCCAAGTCCACCAGTTTGCTTCTGAGTATGTTTTATTAATGTTTTCTGTAACAAAACCATTTTGTTGAATCTGCTGGGTTGCCTTTCTGAGAATGCAGTAGATTTTGTGCAAGTGTTCATGCAAAGATCACCCAATGATCCTGCCTGTGAACTACACACCGAAATATTTCAAAGGCTGCGAGATAGCCGGGGTGGGAAGGGAGAATTACAACAGTGACTGACAAGCAGAGGCAGTTCTGTCTCCCTGCTGCTCTGCTGCAGCTGGGCTGGGAGCTGAACTGGATCCTGTTGTGATCTGGTCACACCTGGTGGCTCCCACAGGCTGGGGCTGCCACCATCCCGTGCCCCTCTGTACCAGCACAGTCTTGCTGCCAGCTGTGTGACACAGACCTGGTATTTGAACAGAGGGACCAGAGAAACATGCGTGCTTTAAAAGCCACAGGCTGCACTTTAAAATAATTTCCTCATTTAACAAGCTTGTTTGTCCCTGCTTCAGTGAAAGAAACTGTCAGCTGGGGTCTAGAAAAAATTCTGCTTTCAAATGTAACATGGGGTTAACTCATACGAAAAGAATTCCATCACTGAGCATGGCTCAGAAGTGATGGCATAATAGATAAGGCTGTGCTTTGAAAAGCTTGAGGCACAAATGGAAACAGCATGAGGGAAAGCAGCACACTACATTCCAGATGTTTTGCGGTAGAAGGGGATTTGCAAGAAAATTCGTAAAACCAAAAGGATTTTTTTTTTTAATGTTGTTACCAAAAAAGTACTCTGAAATGTCTCTGGGCCTGATGTTTTTACTGTAGAGATAAGGGCACCTTCAAGGGAAGATAGAGAAGCAGTATGTTTCCTAGGGAATTATACCTTATTCATCAAGGTAGCTTATTCATCTACCTTACTAAAATCAAAGGGGCTTGTGGGGAGAGGTGCCATTCAGCTTCAGAACAAATGCCAGGAACTAGTGCTTTATGAATACTGGCTATTGCTGGATGTAGAGCATAATGTCCCTAATGAAGGGAGAATAACGTTATGAATAGCTCACTACACAGAAAAAGAAAGCAACAACAACAACAACAAAAGCAGTAATCAGAGGAGGGTGCAGCCAACAGTGACACAGCCACAGCAGTCACAAACCCCCCACTTTCTGACTTTTGGGATGTGGAACCACTCCCATTTTGGCATGGTGTAAATGATCCTCCAAAAAAACCTTTCATGAACACTGAATTACAGACAGAACAGAGCCTCTGGTAAATGTAGAAGGCAACCCCTACAGAGTGAGGGGAGGACTGAACAGCAGATCAGGCCAATTAATGGCTTAGGAGTGGGATGATGCTTACCTGTGCCAGATGCAGATGGTGGAAAACTGAAGGTTTGTGCACATAGGTCTGCAGACCTATGGACATGCAGCAAGTCCTGTCCTGTGCAAGAATGCCCCAGTATTTATCTATCTATCTATCTATCTATCTATCTATCTATCTATCTATCTATCTATCTATCTATCTATCTATCTCTATCTCTAGAATCCCAGTGGTAGAATGGGATTTTCCACCATCTCCAATGGTGAAAAGCCAAAGTCTCCAGACCTGCTAAAACTGAACTCTGCCACAGTTCCTGCCATGCAGAAAAAAGTTCTATTCTAGACTGTTAAATGCATCATTCTCCTTCACCTGTAGATCCAAAGGGAAAAGAATTAGGCATAAATCTGATTAAAGCAGTAAGGAAAACTGCAGAGTACCTTTGAGAACAGAAATTTTCTAGCTGTGAATGCAGGCTTTCCCACCAAGCCTAGCTCATTTCCCTGAAACAGCTTCTGTGTTTTAAAATATTCCCTGTCTCAGTCCTGTTCTGGACAAAGACACAGCTTTTTTATTCTGTGGATATGTTAAAAATTTCAGCCCATAGCAAATGTGGGTGAATGGAAGAAATTTAGGTGCCAGCTTTGTTTGCTTGTTTATTAAGTCCATTTTCAGGCTGAACAGCTGAGATAGAATTTGGCCAGAACCCCTGAAATTCACATACCTGCTCTCACATAAAAATGCCAATATCATGTTGGGCCCTTTTTTAATGTTTTATTTCTCCTGCCTCAGAAAAAACAAACGATTGTGTTGTTCCTCCTGCGCCTCCACCTTATAATGTCATTACTGCTTCAATTATCATCGTTATCACCTTCCTCCTGGCTATCACCCTGGCAGCAAGATACCTCCCAAGGCATGGTAAGTGCACTTCCTTTTTCAAGAAGGTGTCTCGGTGCTGATGGAGTTTCTATGTAGGATACACATTTATAGAAACTTTACTGTCACACTAGGTATTTCTGTACCTTCTTATTTTTCTCATTTCCTTTTTTTTTTTTTTTTTTTCCTTTTTCCTCTTCAGCATCCACTGTCACAAAATCTAAGTCTAGCTCATGAGTTTTCTACATTTTGTGTGCAGGCAACACTTGAGTTCAGGTTTGAGGGTGAAGAGGTGACAGGGAGTTTTGACAGCAGATCAAAATATTTCCAAAATCAGGTATAATGAAGAGGTTCACAAGGGCTCATTTTTATGTATTAAGATGCTTTAAGATGCTTTAAAATGCCAAGAATGTTGGTGATCATGATAGATACAGCTGAGCACTGAGAGTTTCAAAATAGGATCTCTCTCCACACCCTACTTAATCTCCCAGAAAGTCACTGAGCCAAAGTAACAAAAATACCTAGTGTTAGGGCCACAGGAAAGCATAGCAATGTCCTACTTTTATGAGAACACCAACCAGGAGAGTTAGATTTATATTCTTTGTATGGACAAAAACGGCACAGGTAAAGTGTCTGGTCCCATCTTATGAAGTCTCCAGTAACTCCAGACAAGTCTCCAACCAAGAGTTTTTCAATGGCAAAGGGGACCTTAAATATCTCAGGATTAGTGGACAGCTGAGTAATTTACTTTTTTCTCTTGAAAAAAATCCTATCTGTTAGCTGTTGTTCCTAATCATGTCTAAACTGACCTTGCCAGAAAGTCCCTGAAGATGTGGGCAGGCATTTAATAGATTTATAAAGGCAGGTAAGATTGAAAGTCAGCAGGAGCAGCAGGTGCCTTATCCACACCCTACGAGCAGCTTTGCAGAGCAGTTCTGGAGAATGACAGCAGGCCTTGCAACGCATGAGGATAAATAACACCCAGCTGAGCTCTGTCAGGTCACTGGGGAAGCCACATCTGGGGACAAGAATCCCACACTGAGGGCTCTATGCTCAGGCCACTTACACCATCTGGCCATGGTATTCCCTGTTGGAAAAGGTTTTTCTGAGCAGCAAGGACTCAGTCCACTTACAGATACCTGTAAGTTTGCCATGCTTGTGTCTTGTGATACCTTTACTTCAACTTCAGACAAGTTCACTCCCAAGTCAGATGTGTGGAGGTCTCATTATTATTTTTCTTTTCCCCTCTTCATCAACCACATCCCTTCAAAAACCAATGTGACCATTGAGTCAAGCTGGGCTAATTTCCTTTCAGTGTTTTATCACAAAGAAAGGAAGCTTCTGGAAGGCAGTGACTCTGGGTCACACCTGTGCACCTCCTCATTTTCCACCCTTGTGCCCTTATGGCACCAGTGCCTGTTCTTCTCCCCTGCTGTTCCCTGGGGCTGTGTCAACAGGAAAGCAACAAGCAGGCTGAAACCAAGAAAATCACAGTTGATCACAGCCTGTGCTGTTAGCTGCATGTATAATGAACTTCTAATTATAGGAGAAAATGAACTGGAATCGGAAGATTTGGCTCTCAACAAATATAGGCTGGAAATTAAAAGGTTCCTTACCATTAAATTAGCAAGATCCTGGAGCACTCTGAGATAGCCTTTTATATAAGAACGGAATTGCTTTTAAAGCAGATGTAAAAAGCAGACCCATGTGGTAGAATGCAATCACCTACAAACAGCATGGCACATGGCTGCATTAACTAGAATTTCCCTTTTAGTCCCACTTCCATAATATGCACAGGGAATAGATTTGCTGAGTCAGGTGGTGCTATTTGGTTCAGCCACTCTCCAGGCCAGGCATGGAAGAAAACTGTAAAAGAAACTGTATGAAGTGTAAGAAACTAAAGCCAGAGCCTCCATCCAGCTTTCCAGTTTGTGTAGCTGTCCCATTTCAGTGTTCCTGTGCATGCCACCCGTCTGGGAAGAGAAACCTCTGCCCTAAGGGTGCTTCATGTGGGTGCTGCTGCAGGTCACCTTTCAAGAGCTCTCCTGGGAGTGCAGAATAGGTCTGAGAGCACCTCTTGTTCTGGGCTGTGGAAAGCTGAGTCAGGAGTTGCTAAGAGTGCTTTTTGCGCTCAAAAAGCCATGCTTCAAAGAGCTGAAGTGTGGGAGGGAAGAACAGAAAAGCAGAGCAAAACAAAAACGGAAGTAAGAGTTTTCAGATGCCTCATTGTTGTGGTGGCCAAAACAATCAGGTGCTTTGTTGAGGTTCACAACCACCTACTCTGAGGAGCTCGCAGCCTGTTTTGCAGTAATTTAAGAATGAAAATACAAAGCACCAAGATTAGAGGTCACCTAAACAATGGTTTAGGGTTCACGTTGCATAATTTGTGCGAGCACAATTGCACAAGATTCAACTTGAACTACTAAAATTCAGTCATAGATGGTGAGATATTAAGGGGATCTGCTTAATCTGAGATCCTCTTAAAGCACTTGAAAGAGTTTGTTGGTTTTAACACCAGCATTCTTTCACTCGATAGGTAAACTGCAATTAGTGACATGTAACCATGTAATGATGTAACCATCATTATTTCCCTTCTGACCTTATCTCAGCATGTAGCAACCTGTTTTTGTGCCAAGCTGAGGTTCTAGCCCTGTGCTAACAAGAGCAGTTTTATCCAATATGACACTATATAGATAATATTTATTTGTAACAGAGCTTTCTATCAGATCAGACTATGACCATATTCATACAATAACAAGGGATCTTCTTTTTCAGTTTGTTCTCACTGTTGTAAGCACCAGGATTCGGTGGATGAGGGCATGAAAGAATATACAAAGGCACCCACAAGCTCTAAAGGGACAGCTGAAACATCATCTGTATGACCAGATCACATTTGCAGGTAGTTTCTTTCACTCTTCTCTTGGCAAAACTGTTTCTCAAATAGTATTAAATGCTTGTGCAATGTTAGCTCAAAACACCCCGTGTCATCCAGCTGTCAGGATCTGCAGGGACATCCCCTGCCATTGCCCCTGTACTCATTTTATGGGCTTCCCAAATAAACACTGGGCAGTCTTTCAGTGCCTGTCCTGTTGGGCTCATTTGTGAGTTACTCATCCCTACCTCAGGTGCCACATGTGGCTTCACCCTGCAGAGGTTCTGGCTGATTCCCTGAGAGCCATGTGCCTGATTTGATGCCTTAGCATCACTGATGATAGAAATTGAGGATTGAGCAAATGGTGGTAAGGGAGGGAGGAAGAAAAGAACAACTCCAGCTTTCCCAGAATGATCAGACACGCCACTCCAATTCTGAGATGTGTCCATTCCCTTCAGCAGCTGGAGGAAAGGAGAAGGAAAAGTTTCCTCCCTCAAACTTTCCCAGAAAACATTCATATTTTAAAATGAGTTACTTTCGATAATGGGATGCTACAAAAGATGGGCTGGGGAAATCTGGTTTGCCAAGGTTTTATGATTACAAAGGATTATATTTGCTTTGGCTTGAAAGCTCAGCAGTTTTCAGGGCTGTGTCCTCCAAAAAGACACTTAAGTGAAGAGACTTAAGGGAAGATTAGCAGCTAACTGTTTTTATTCACATCATTATCCAGGTGACTGCATCTCCTGCTCTCACCGCAGCATGCGGAATTGCCAGGATAATGCCTGAGGAATTGCCAGGGTAATGCCCTAGAGCAACAGCTGTGGGGTCCTGGAAGTCTTTGTCAAACTGTGCACTGCAGAATCTAGAAGTTTAATAGTTTTGAGATGGAAAGGAGGGGAAACTCTCATTTGGGCCACTTGTCTCATTTCCAAACCTGACCACCCACTGATGTTTTCCTCTGGGGAAGGCCCTGTCTGGAACAGATACTAGAGCCTTGGTTAGCAAGAATTTTGGGGAGTTTTGTGATGGGAGTGGCAGGAGTTCACCTACAGAATAAACCCATTTTTTTAAAATTATAAAAGTTTGCCAAGATTTTCCTGTAGCTGGTGTAGCTGGAAGCTCGTGCTTCTCGACTCCATTGCCTAGGACAGCTGCTCTCTGTGGACTGGGATGGAAGCTGTGCTTCCTTAGTGCCTGACTGCCATCTCGTGATGCACCGAGCCATGTCCTGCTGCTGCTTAAATAGGGAATCACGTTCATTAAGTCATCCTCCCTCCGTTCCCGAGGGTTTTGCAGGAAGCGCTGGGCCAGGCTGCAGCTGGCTGCACTGCCCGCTCCGAACAGCTCCGAATTTAGGGAGCAGGAGCCCTCTTGTGGAGGGCTCCCGCAGCTGATACCTGTTCCTCGGCTCTGCAGCGTTACTGGGGAACATTTAAGGTGTGCAAAACAAAAAACAAACCCCAGTGAAATCTTTTCCTCAGGTTCTTCACGCTGTGCATCCCGCACTGCAGACTCCACACTGTACAGCGATGCTTGCTGCTCGGACCCTTTGGCTCTCTGCGAGGGGGTGGCAGCAGCAGCAAACTGCTCACCACGGCTGACAGCACAACCTCCTGCGAAGGAATGCAAACCCTGCCTGTGCCGTGCCTTCCTTGCATCCAGGTCGCTGGGATTCCAGCTGAGAGGACCCTCCGTGTTCCTGCCGCGGGACAGGAGGATGTCATCGGCGGCACACCAGGTCGAGACTTCAGGAACCTCTGGCTCGACGCTGCCTCTGTGAGAATCAGGGGCCTGCAGAGCCCAGCAGGGAGCCCGTGCCCACCTACCCCTTCAGTAACACGGAGCTGCCCTTTGGGAGACCCCAAACCCTGACCTGCAATCTCTTCAGTTTGTGCCTCCATGTTGCAAGTGGGAGAAGCTAAAACTTCTTTTATATTCAGCCTCACACAGGTATCTGTTCTCCCTTCTGGAAGATTGTGGATTTGGACTCGACCATTACAGGTACACATCCCTTCTCCACTAAAGAGGCAATAGTGGACACATTGTTTCATGAGAAAAAGACACTTTGGAAGTGAGTCTATGCGCCTCATGCTTCTTTGCAGCGCTACAAGACTTTCTAGGGAATGTTACACACGCTGGCAGCACTCCTAAGAGCTCATTAATATTGCTTATCCACTGCAGTGGCAAAAGTTCTCATAACCTTTCTCTCCTGAAAGGACAGCCTTGCCACCCCAAGCACTGAGGCACAGCTCCTCCATTCAGTTGCTGTGTGAGCACACACATGGCCGAGTTTTCACCTGCATTCCTTCCCACCCACACCTGTAAAGCCCCATTGGAACTTGTGTGGCAGCCAGTGGTGATCTCGTGTGTAGCTACTGTGGTCAAAAGTAACTCGGGGCCTTGCTTTAGAAACATGGGTCTGCCTCTGTGTGTACATCTGCCATGGGACACTTGATAGGGAAAGCTCTGCAGATTTTTGGGTGTTTCTCACAGCAACGTAAGGTTGCAAACAGTTACTTTGCACTGAACGTTGCTTTCTGCCGGTGTTCTCTCTACCCAGCCAGGACTAGAAGGAATTTCCCTACAGGATGCTAACATTGGACAGGACTCATCGGATCCGGGTGACATTCTTGCCTACTGTGTAGGAAAAAAAGGTTTCTCATTTTGAGGGGAAAGGAGGAAAATGCCCCAACCCCCAATAAGCTTCCTAAGCAACTCTGCCTACTAACCTAACTCTGCCCTGAGTTTGACTGGAATGTTTTTCTCTTTTGCTCTGCAAGCTGTACCCATTTCCTCACTGTTCCATCCACATTATCAGGGCAAACCAAAGTCTGAAGGCACAATGCCATCCTCTTTGTGGGATGTGTTGTCACTTGAGCTGCTTATCTTCCTAGAACACAGCAAAGACACAGTCCATCCATTTCATTTTTTCTACTCGGTACATATTGAGAAACTGCTGGAAAAAAATAGGATTAAAAGTGGTTTAGACGATACTGAGCACTGAGATTAAGTAAAAAATAGACAATGCTCCCTTTCTACTCCTGCAGAGTCATGCTGTGCCATCACCTTTTTACTGCTTTCCCACTGTACCAAGTGTAATGGGAACTTCAGAACATTCTTACAGAGGAGTTTTTGACAGAGGAGAGGTAAACTGGGGAATAAGAAAACAATTGCACTTGTGTGTTCTGGTTGCAAACAGAACACAAGTGACAGAAATCAGGCTGTCTCTAAAAGGCAGGACTTGGTGCATGAGTGACATGTCTCACACTTTTCAGGTTTCCTGTTCTTTCAGCTTGTTCCAGCACAAACCACCAGCTCCTTGCAGGCTGACCACTGTCTCTTGGCAAAACTTCCAGTTTTACTGATTTCCAGCACTGTTCTTCCCCACAACCACACTGCAATTGCACCTTGCCAGCCACACCACAGCTCTGCCAGTTGTACCAGCATGTTTTCCCTCTCACTATCCCATGCTCTCTCTTCTTCTGCTCCTGGCTGGTGACTGTGCAGGCTCCCAGAGAAGGGCTTGTCTTTTGCAGTGTGCCAAACCTCTCTACATCACCACAGTTTCCAGTAACGCTTTCAGTAACTCCTTCTAAAAGAAACAAAAAGTCCCTGACAAATATGGCCAGCATCAGGTTATTTTTATATGCTTGATGGGCAGGTTATTTGGTTCATTTTTCATTAAGCAATAATACTCTGGATCACATTTTCTATTGCCTTATGCTGTATTCAGTGAATTGCATACAAATGGTTTCTGTGAGACCTTCTCAGCTTCGTATCTGTGTCATTGTAGCAAGTGAGCTGCTGTTTACCATGGGTGTTTTGTATATAATGTTGTTTCCTGGGGTTCCTCCTTTCATTGTATTAAAAAATAAATGGTAAACTCAGTTTCCTTTCCTCAGTAATAAAAGATGTCTGTCTATGCACTGAGAAGAACCTCTGTTACTCATGCTAGCCACCATTTCACAGCATCCAGGTAGGTGATGCAGCTGTTGACAAAGCTGTACCAGGTACAGCTGGCATCAAGCCACAGCTCTGTGTGCCAACAGCAGTGACAAAATGACACTCCGGTAACCCAACGTGTGACTTCCACACCCCTCACATCTGTCACTGCCAGGGGTTACCTGAGCCATTTAGCTACAGATCATCCTTCTCCCTCCAAACAGGAGGTTCTCTGCAAAAGCAAAATGCAGTGTAAGGTCTTCTCGCTGCACCCCTACTACTTGGGTTACCTACTCTGAAAGTGGAGGGTCAATAATTTCAATGCTGTGCTTTTGCTGGGGATGGAGGGAGTGGGAATGTGAAGAATTCCTTACAGGTGTATGTAAAAAACAAACTCTGAACCATTTGGGAGTCTAAGAAGTAAGGAAGTGCAGGGAACTAAATTCAGCAGAAAACTGAGAAACAAATGCCTGCTAATCTTGAGTGTAGCTGAAGTCTCTGCTTCCCCTGGCTAACAGGCAGCGTAAGAACATGTAGCAGCCCTCCCTTGCACAGACAGAAAATCCACACAACTGCTACACCTTGGCTCTGCTTTCCCTCCCATCCCTGCATCAATGGTCAGGCACAGGAAAATTAGTATTCTTCAGGCATCACATCAAATACCACCAAACAGGAATAGAGACAGAGCAATGGCACAGCTAAATGTCATCAGAGCTGCTGTACAGATAAGAGTGTGGGATATTGGGTGGAGATGTAATAGCAAGAAGATAAAAATGAAGATAAAAAAGAAGACATCGCTGTGTAAGCACAATGGCAAAAATGTGACTTAGAAAGGCCCATTTCCTTTTTTTGGGGGGGTGCCAATGACAACACCATTACTATCACCAACACATGCAGAGCTTAAAACTCTGAGGAAAGATGGAAAGATATATCCATACCTCTGCTTATGCAGATTCTTCACTTACACACAGAAAGGGAAAATCAGAGCTGGTTGATGACAACCCTGAAATATACATTTCTTCAATGGAAAAATGAGCTACACTGGGGTGTTTAAAAAAATTAAATGCTCACTTCAGGAGTCAGAAAACACAACACCTTCTTGAAAGCAAACTGTGCCAAAAATCTGCTTTGGGTGGGTGGAATACACTCTGTGGGATCAACTGTTCGTATTTCAATCAACAGTAATTATCTGGAGAAGCATTCAACCAGAACAGATTCTTTCCTTATGAGAACACCCGAAAATCCTGTAATTCCTTTCAGTAGGAGAAAAAATTCCAACTAAGAAAGGGAACAAGAATTCTGATGTCCTGCTTTGGGGGAACAGTGATGGGCCACCTCACCCTTCTGAGTACAGACCATTTTAGAGTAACTCCAGCACCACCCACAGGTAACAGCTCTGACTTAACAGTTTATCTCTGCAACAAAATAATAGAGCTGACACTCTTGTGGCTCTTGCCTTTGTTACTGCCTGGGTAGAGGAATGTCTGGTGGGATCTCAGAGCTCTTCTCAAGGAATGTCACTCAAGGATGCTCCTCTAGTACCAACACTACTAGCATAAAGTACCTGCTGTACTGATATAAAGAGCTTATGGACACAGTCACCACTGCTGGATGGCTTTATTGTCTTAAACCACATTTCCCCCAAAGGAAATCCCCTGATTTCCAACTTGCAAATGAAATTAGAGGCCTTTTTATTGTTAAAACTGTCCACAGTGCCAAGTCTTCCACCATCACCACCAGAAATAAGTCATGTTTTCTGTGGCTCCCTCAGGCTTCTGTTGAGGAATCCAAAACATGCCTTTTTCAGGGTATTCCCATATAATTTCCAGCTCCTCCACACTTCCTCCACACTGACTGCAAAATACCCCAAAAGATCTAGGAGCCAAGTAAGAAACTACCATCAGCAAGTTCTTTAAGCACTGTCTGAAGAACAGCTTTCACCAGGGCATAATTAACTTTTGGAATCAGGGGACTTTTAGCACACAAACCATTTATAGGCTCTTTTATCTTGAATATTTCTACATCACTAGTGGTTTGGACATTTCCAGCAGTGAAATGGGTCCTAGATGAGGCTCTGGAGCCTCCACTTCCTGCCAAAGCTAGGTGACTTTTTCTGTTCTGTAAAGTCTGTGCTTCCACCTTCTCAGGTGGAACAGGTTTGGCAGTTCCAAGCTCTTTGTGCAGCGATATCCATCTCTGTACAATGTTTTCAGCAAAACACTTTTTCACAGGATACAACTGCATTCACAACTCCCATGATCCTCTGACTGAAGGCTTTTACAAGCAGGATCAAAATGCTGTGTAGCTTCTTACAACAGAGATCTGGGAAAGTAACTCAGTAACTCTTCAATTCTCTTGCTCTCTCCGTCTCTGGTCTTCCCTGGGCATTGTTTTCTGTTTTGCCTAAGATTTCAGTCATACTGAGCCTGGATTCCCTAAAGAAGAGAAGAAAGAGTGCAAAGCAATTTTATGCCTGTATCCTCCAGACAGAGACATCACTGCAGAATCCAAGCTCTTGAAAATTTCTCCTAGAATTAGTGAGTAAGTTTCAGTAATTCACATGACCATTGTCATGACCTTTCTTCCCCCAAGCCTTCAGCTATCCTTCTTTTCCTCTCTTTAATAGGGATGGAAAGAAGGCAGCAGTGAAGGAAAGACTGGGAAGACTAAATCTGCATTTCTAAGACTGGTATGTGAACACCACCAACAACCAAGAGAAGAACTGAGGTTTAGAAAGCCTAGTGTGTCGTGGTTTCTCTAAATGTTTGAACACACAGCCCCAGACACCCTCCTCCAGTCCATGACTGGAAGGGGCAGAGCTGTTCCTCACCACTCTGCCAGCTTCTGTTCGTACAGCTCCCTGCGCTCACGATTCCTCTTCTCCTGCAGGGTCTCACCAGCCAAGCCATACATTGCTATTAGGAGGCCTCCTGCAGGAACCCTGAAGGAGGAAGCAGAGATGTCAGCAGTCATCCAGGGGACACACAACAGCAATAACTCTCTGGCATCAGCAAAAGGAGCATGCAGGGGCCACATGCCTCATGAGGGGAGCGTCACATTCCCCAAAAATCACATCACACCACAGACTAAGGTACTCCTGTTCTACTGTCACCCACCAACCACAGCCTCTCTTCAGCTGTGACTCACTGGAGCCCCTGTGATAACATACTTTGAATTTACTCATTGACATGCACACATAGGACAAAGGGGTGAAAGCATTTGTGGTGCTCTATGAAGAACCCATAGGACACCTAAACCATATTTCAGACAGGGACACCCCTGCTCAGCTTCCATCCAGCTCTGGAAGTACTTGTGTTTTCACAGGTAAAGCTCCCTAGGCTGCTTCCAGGCATGCCCACAGCTCACACCATCCTGATGGTGCCAAGCAGCACAAATAAAGCTCCTTCTTCTTCAGGTAGGATCCCCAGATTCACTTATGGGGATATGTACAGGTCAGCACTTTGAGAAGAAATCCCAGTCCTGCTTGAAAAGTCAGATTTCTCCTGAGTTAGAGGTGATTGTCCAGAAGCACAGAGGCTCTGAGAGAGAACCATGGGTTCCTCCATGCCCCAGGGAATTTTAGGAGACTCATGGCTGCAAAACACACATGAAGACATGTGTCACCTTACAGCCCAGCCATGCAGCTACTCCCTCAGTGTTTCCTAATAGCTGCTGCTTCACATTTTAGCATTGGTGGAGCCTATGTTGTTCCCTCTAGTAAGTAAACAACAGCAAATAAGATGCTCTACTGAGAGCACTGAGCTCTCACTACAGGGAGCAGCAAAACACAAAACAAGAAACAAAGAAGAAAAGAAAAACTGTTTAAAGGTTGGAAGAAAAGTGATCATCATGAGGTCCCAAGAGAGATACAGAAAATCCCTCCAGGCAGGAGAGGAAGGGAAGCTCTTGTAGCCCCATCCATGATCCCAGGCTCGGTGTGTGCAGCAGTCACAACTCACCCAAATGCCGTTCCAAACACGATGCCGCCCGCCAGGCCCTGCAGGCCCAAGTGCATTCTGAACAGGGCTCCTGTGAAGGCTAAAAAAAGAACAAACCCACTGAAACTAGAAATAGCCCCGCCACAGACATCTCATATCAACACAGGGAGCTGCTTTGCTGCATTTCTCTTCTCCATGAGCTGACATCTGCTTTTAACAGAGCAGAAACCAAGTGCCATGGCCAGTGGGACAGACCCTCACCACACAGTCACCATGGCCTCTGCACTGAAACATTGCACAAAGTTCCTTCTGCTTCAGAAAAACTGACAAAGTTTTTCCTGTACCACACAAGCATCTATAAAAGTAAAACCAAGCTCTCTCTAGGCTGGAGCATGAGATCCTCACTCTTTTTTCTGTTTGACAACAGCTAATAATAGTAGCTGCCATGTAAGGCAGAAAGATCAGTAAAAAGTGTATCCAACTGTAAGGGCAGTAAAGCCTGTAAAACTGAACAAGCAGATCACTTACCCAGAGCCCTGTTGCCAAAAGTGGGCATGCACAATTTAGCATGAAAAGGACAGCCTATAAACAGTGTGCTGAATTGTTACCAAGAGTGGAAATAAAAGATGCTTTCCCTGTTAAATAAATGCTTATGAGAACAGGTTATGCACCAAGGGTTGCCTTAACCCCACACAAGCATTTTTCACTTTTTTCAAAATACTCCAGCAAGTATCTTGAAGATGAACTGATAACCACAAAACTCCCAATGGTTTCAGCAGTGCATCAATATCTCTTACAAATAAAGGCACGCAGCAGGCAAACAACAGAGCAAAGTCAGTAGAACAAGAAGCAAAACCCAAGAGCACAGAAGCTGCTCAAGCCCAAGGGATGTGGATACTTGCTTATGCTTTTCTGCTACGACCCTTGCTTCCAACCAGAAGCATACAAGGTAACAGCACTCTTACCTCCTGCTGCAGCAAAATTACTGATGGTGGTTTTATTGCGGTATGCTGACAGGCCTGTGCTCACCATGCTGCAAAGGTAAGGCACAGAAGTCAGAAGCTGCACGTGGAAAAAGAGAGGTATCAAAACACAGCCTGGAATAAAGCTGGATTTCATTAAGCCAGCCCTCAGGCTGCCTCTAACTGCCTGGCTGCCCGTCTGTTCAGAGCACACACATGCCAGCCACGCTTCTGTGACTTTACTGCGGGCAGCTGCAGAGACACAGGCCAGGGAGTATCAGAGTTCTTGAACTGGATCTGAGATACTCCTCCTTTTTTTTTTAATCAAAGATTTTTCTTTCCCATCATAGAATCAGAATGGTTTAGGCTGGCAGTGATGTTAAAGATCACCCAGTTCCAAGCCCTCACTGCAGGCAGGGGCACCTTCCACTGGACCAGATGCTCAGAGCTCCATTCAGCCTGGTCTTGAATACCTCCAGGGATGGGGCATCCACAGCTTCTCAGAACTACCTGTTCTAGTGCCTAGGAACATATAGTCAGTCAAGGATAAAAGAATTTGAGCAATGAAAAAGTCCTATCAGTCAGACTGGATGCAGGACAATTTACTTCAGAAGCTGATCCATGTGTCAGTAAAATCTTGCCTTATAAACAGTTGCCAGTAAACAGCCTAAGTCACACTTGTGACATCAGCAGGGTCATCTACTCTTGTGGCACCAGATTTCTCTCTGGGGTAGGTAAACCACCTCCTCCTAAAACATCAGCTAAGCCCCAAAGTGCTGTTCTCAGTTCAGCAGCCACATACTCCCCAGCCTCCTGCATTACAATGACGAGCCAACAGCAATCCTCTTCTCCTTCCCAACACAGATAAACCCAAACAATTTGGGTTTTAATTGTGAAACTTAAAGTTTTCACAACTGCAGGATGAAGTTTTCAACTTGGGCTTTACAGAAATCATGTTGAGCAGCAAATAGCTTTGCTCAGAACCTTTTCCAAAGGGCTGGTGAAAAAGGGGCTGATCTGACTGCAGGAGAGACAAGCAAAAAAACAAGAGACAGTGAAGAAGTTCAGAAAAGAACAAAAAAATTAGGGAGACAGAAATATAAAATAATTCCAGTCAATACTGTGGGATCTTAAAAGCAGGACAACTTAAACAGAACATACCTGCAGAGAGAATCAATGTAGGTTTAAATTTATAAATTTACTAGTTTGAACAACAGAGAAGGAGGTATTTCTAGTTTAAAAGGGTATTGCTTAGAAGACCATGCTTAATTTGATGTTCTATTGCCATGAGTGCACTGAAACAGCCAAGGAAGTAAATCAGGGAAGCAGAACACTCTCTGCATTGGTGCTGTGCCTGTAGAAAAAATCTGAAGGCTTAAACAGGTACATAGAACTGTTAGGTCTGATATTCAGCTCAAGAACAAGGGAATCCTCTGCAAGTGTCTGAGGACAAGAACAAAGATTTGTGAGTAACAGCAGTGGATACAAAGTAGGAGTAGTGACAATTGTGAGCATATACAAACTAGGAGTAATGAGACATAGCAGAAAGGACAAAAATCAGTGTGGGTTAGAAAACACTTCCTGAAACTGCCAACAAGCTTCAACACTCCCTCAGAGGAAAAGCACAAAAAGAGATGAAGCAAAAGCAGAAAGCAGCTGTCAAGAAACGGAAGAACAGTATTCAGGTCAGTAACACCAGGAATTAGATGTACAATCAGGGCTTTTCCACATTTAGCCTTTGTGTTGATTCATTAGTAGATGAGCATTCTGGGGCAATTCTAAAAGGTTAAAACCTCTCCACGCTCCTGGCTGATCAACCAGACTCACGTTAAGGCAACACCAGGAGCCTCAATCAATCACCAGAGCTGTGGGCACTGCTGGCACGGAAAGCTCTTGGCCACTGGTGCTGAAGGACAAGCACAAGGCAGCTGTGCTCCCTCCGCCATCAGGAAACAAACACTCACTTGAATATCATGGTGAAAGCCGCGACCCTCCAGCTCCAGCGCCAGCCGTAGCGGATGAAACTGCGGAGACCAGCACGGTGTGCGGATTGCTGAGGGGACAGAGAGGACATGGCACAGGTCACAGCCCCCTCCTCCTGCCAGCACGCTGCAAGCCAGCTCATGGGACTGATGTCCCTTGGGACCCCAACTCTGATCAAGCCTGACACTTTTGGAGGAAAAGCTGCTCCCAGCCACCAACAGGAGAACCAAGAATCGATTCCAGTTTGGAATGTCAACTGGTCCTTCTAATCCTGATGCTGAAAGACATCTGGATGGACTGGAAGGGCTTTTTGAGGACAGTACAGAAAAGCATCTATGGAGAAGACAGAAAAACTAGAAACTACTTCATTTTATGAGTTCACAAATATTAATAAATAATAACCATCAATAAATAATAGTCAGTAAATAATAACCCTCTACATTAAATATTAAGATACCATCAAGCTCTGCCGTTTAACACTGGCTCTTAAAAGTTTGAGGTTTTTTTAAAATATGTGATAAACAGAAGCTTCACAAAAAATTAAAAATGTTGCAGTTATTACCATGAAAGTAAATAAATTTTCTCTTCCAGTTTTTGTGGTGTAGGTGCTTAGCCTGGGTTCAGATATACCAGAGTCACCAGAGCGAAGCCAGGCAGTGGTAATTAACCAGTCACCACATGAGAGGCCAAATCTAATTTTAGGTGATGCAAAATTTACATCATGCAGATTTTTAAAGGAGTTTCCTTCCTCATAATCCAGGTAACCAACACTTTAATTGAATAACAAACACCTGGAAGTTCAAATACGTCTATAAAATGTCACAAATGTTCTTTGTTGTGCAGTTGTTGTAAGAGAATTTTAAATGGTCCAAAAATGACTCACATTAATAAGACAAGAGTACAATCACAGTCTGATACTATGAAGTCTCCTGTCAGCACACTAAAATTTAAAATTTCGAGACATACTAATCAGCCATTTAACAGACCGGTAAAACTTTGTTACCAGCTTTCTGTCTAACGAAGGACACTTGTCTGAAGCTAATCGCGTGCAATTTTGGTAACGGGGTGCGCTAATTCCCGCAGCCGCCGACCGGCCCGGCTGCACGCACTCTCACACTCCCAGCAAACTTTCTGTACCAAAGCCGGGCTAACACACGCCTCCCACGAACAGGAGGCCACGCGGCCTCCTGCGGGCTCCGGTGTCACCTCACACCGCGCCTCCAAGGGCAACTTCCACCGCCGGAGCCTTCCCAAGGCCGCGGCCTCCCGGGGACGCTGCGGGCCCCGGGGCGGGCGGTGCCCGGCGCTCCCCCGCGCACCCCGNCGGAACCGCTCGGCTCGGAACAGCTCGGCTCGGAACCGCTCGGCTCGGAACCGCTCGGCTCGGCTCGGAACCGCTTGTGTAAGAGACTGCATTATTACTGATTAATGACTCCAAACATTTTCCCGTCTGTGCAGGGCCAGGTTTGTTTCCCCCCTCACACCCCCCAGAGGGGAGCTGAGTTTTGGCGGCTGCGATGCCCGGTTCGCATTGGACAGAGGGGTGCAGCCCCCGGGCTAAGAGGTAAATGCTGCACGGTGAGATGGTGCCTCTCATGGTGCTCATTGCCTCCCTTAAACTGCTCACTCTGTGGTGAATTCCCCCGACCCTCGGGGAAGGCTGAAGGGGCATTCCTGGCTTGACTGCAGCTGTCTTGTCAGGGTCATAAACCATCAACGCCCCCCGAAGCGCCCCAGACTCGTTTGTGAGGCCTGTCACCAAAGGAGTGACAGCTCCCCACCAGGGGAGGTGCCTGGGCCTTCCCACCGAGCCTGTGAGTATTTTAACCCATGGGACTTGGAATTCCCGGGATTCTTCCCTCACTCCTGACAAACCATCACTTCAGCCAAGGGCCATCTAAGGTGCAAGAAATCATTGCAAGATCATGGGGTGGAAAAGCTGGGGCTCTGCAGACCTTTTATTACTCTTTGATGAAGCAACAAGCACTCAGCAAAATTTCATTTTTGTTTGTTTTATTCCAAAAAGCACTTCTTTCCAAATGGTTTTAAAATATCATACAGAGCTGCTCAGTTTCTTGGAGTGCTGTCTCTCCATTGGCTAAAAATAAAAAACCAGAAAACCCTTTCCACTCTGGCACAGATTTCCTGGGAAACCAGGCTCTTTTAATGTCCTATTCTGTTTCCTTTGCTGGGTGGGATAACCCCAGCACTGGTCCCAAAACCAACACGCTGCCCCAGCAACCTGCATTTGATCAACAGGGCCAGCTGCTGTGTCCCTGTACCAGGGCTGCAAGGCCTCTGTGAGGGCACATGTGCACTTAAATGTTATTGTTCCATGCAATTTTCTTCTTCCCTAATCCACACAGACTGCAGACTGGCTGAGAGCAGTTGCTATCATCCTCTTCCATGATAATGTGCTTCTCTCAGCCTTGAGGCTGCTTTACCATCAAGGGTGCTCCCCTGGGAGGCTCCTGTGTCCCTCCTGACACCCACTCTCCTGTCTGGGTGCCAGAGAAGATGCTGTTCCCTCCCAGCCTCTCACCTCAGGGGGCACAGAGCATTTCAGGAATTACAGTCCTGGGCTGAGAGGCTGTGGTGGGCATAAACACAGCACAAACAAGCAGCCTGTGACTGAACTCAAAATGGGTAATGTGAGCAGTAGCTGCTACTGTGTGACTGAAGACATTCCCTCAACCAGGCTGAAGGAGATGAGAAAAGAAGTTGTACAGCTGTGGGGAGGAAAAGCAAGTACTGAAGTGACCAGATGTATTACCAATCTCAAAAAAATCCAACAAAACCCCAAACCAAAAAAACCCCAAAATAATCCTAGAAAGATTACAGAAGGGGATCAGAGCAGACTCTGCACTTTTGGAAAAAATAAGTGCTGAATCTACCTCTGTGAATACTTCCTCTGGGTTCCTAAGGGTCCCAGGAGGTCTGGCCAGGCAGCTGGTGAGAGATAATTAACAGGGGCTCAGTTGTGCAGGGCTGTGCAGGCACCCAGCTCATCTGTTGGAGGATGAACCACCTCTTGGCAATCAAATCAGTGATTGTCAAGCACAGCACCAGCACCTGCTGCTCCCCTGTGAGGTAGGTAGGGTAACTCTGCAAGGATCAGTTATCCTTCCAAGGATACTTTTAAGAACTTTCACCTCTAAAGCCCAACATAAACATCAACTCTAAGCTATCAAAAAAGGTTACCCCCAAATCCCAGTACCTGCTTCTGTGAGAGAACACCTAATACCCCAAGTGCTACCACCCAGCTGAGAAAACATTTGCCAAACCGAAGGGGCAAGTATTTGCCAGCTGAGTGCAGCTCACAGTCTGTGTCCTTTGCCATGACTTCTGGTAAAAAGTCCAGTAAGGACTTTCCTCATCAACTGAAAGGAATTTAGGATCATTCTGAGACAGGTAGTAACTAAGTCCTAAACGCTAGCACCCCTCCTCTAGGCATGACTGACCACCCCATTAAATGGCCATAATTCAACATGCTGCTTAACATTCTTGTGGTGACAATATAACCAGGTCCCACTGCCTGGAAGCAATGTCAAAGTCAGCCTACTGCTGTCCTCTGTAGTTCTAGTGTAAAAGGTAAGTCTGAGAGACCAAGAGATAAGTTAATATTGATCTTCAGATTTCCACAGTGATCACAGGGAAGTCTCTACAGTTCTGTTTTCAGCTGTCCAGAAGTGATCTCGCTGTAGCTCTTCCTCCTTTTCACTTTATAAGTCAAGGTCTGGGAATATTCAGACAGCAGATGTTCCCAGTAGCAAGAGATGTCCTCCATCTCCAAGTGCTCAGTGATGAACTGACGTCCCCTAGAGACACACAAGGCACAGTCAGGACTGTTTTCCAGTTCCTACAAGAGTCATTAGTTTTGGTTTGGATGTATATCAACATTCACTCTTCCTTGTTTCAAATGAGAAACAACATGCACTGCTCTGTACCGTCTACTTTAATTTCACAATTTTCATTCATGCTCACAGCTCTGACAGTTGCAGTGCTTTTGCTATCCTCAAGACAGTATTTGCTCTCTGGGATAATAAATATCAGATTTCACTTATCACATACAGCTAGAGCAGCACTCATGCATGCTGCTTCAGACCAGCCTGGATAGATAATGTTTACAGTGCAGATACAGCTCCCAGGAGCCAGCTTGCCTCATACTGAGACGAAAGCTCCCAACCTCTGCCAGCTTTCCACAGGGTTCCTGACACATGGTCACATGTGAACCAGAGCTGAGCACAGAATCCTGTTCTCTGCTTCCCTCTGCTTGTTACTAGTGCTCCAGCCCTCCTGCTGTGATCGCAGAAGATCAGTTATACTGTACCCTACTAATACTGGGTTGTCTTTGATGGGCAACTCCTTCAAAAGAGGTGTAAGAAAATGTTTTGGAAGAAGACTGCCTAGTAGCCAGGAAGGACACACTGCTTACCTCTCTGAAATTTCTTGTGCTATGGCATCATTTTCCTTTACAAACTGTAAGAGCTCCCTAAAATGAAAAAAACACAAAAAAAACCCAGAAAAACAACTATGAAACAACTGGCTCAGTGGAGAACATCATCCCTTAGCTAAATTGTTGGGGAGGGTGAGGTTGAGTCTACAAGTGAGTGAAGGTGCTGCTCACCTCAGAGCACAGAAGGAACTTCTCCTCTTGAGTGTTTCACATCAGTTCTGGACAACATCCTGAAATCTGGGAGCTAACACATTTTTGGCCCACTGGTAAGTTCTTCTTCCCCCTTATCTCTGCTGCCCACTTGCAAATTTAAGTGTCTAGTGCCTGTTGATTTCAGTAAGAGACTTACTCCAGTGAAACTGTAGTCCCCAAGTAATATCAGCAAAGGATTCTTTGGGGGTGGTGATGAAGAGAAAAGATCACGATCTCCAAGAGTCTTTGCCTGATGTCTCAGAGTGGAGTCATTTCATGGCCTAACACAAACCATCCCACCTTCCCAAAGGCTTCCCCATGCTATGGAATGCTCCATGGAGCATTCAGGTCTCACACCTGACGTCAGAGAGATCCGACTGCACCGGGATGTAGTGGACCCAAGGCTTCAGCTGGGGGTAGAAGAACTCCAGCCACTCTTCTCCGACATGAAAGACGAGTGAGCCACACAGGAAAAGGTGTTTCAAGCGGAAACTGGCCGCCACACCGCGGAAATTAAACAGGTACCTTTAAAAGGATGAGCAAAGAGAGGGTCCTGATTACACATTTTGTGTGAGGAAATGCACTAAGGTGTGCTGGTCCCCAGGTAGCAGTAAACCTTCCCTGACAGGCAGCAGCTGAGCAGCAGACCGGTCACTACAACAGAGGAAAGGCATTTATTTGATGCTGTTCACAGGAAAGGTGAGCTG